ATGAGCTTTGGGTAAAGAATAGGATTGCAGATACAAGCAGATAAAATTATTTTCCACCACAGAGTGGCTGGGCTCAGCCTTAGACATTGCATAATGAGATCTATCTTGAAGGAACTTGGAGTAGAACCGCTGCTCCTTCATGTTGAAAGGAGCCAGCTGAGGTGGTTTTGGCATCTGGTTAGGATGCCTCCCAGACACCCTCCATTGGCGGGCTGTAAAACAATGCTGAGGAAGGGGACATCTGGACTACTTTGCTTGGCCTACTGCCACTGGGACCTGCCCTTGGATAAGTGGGAGAAAATGGATGGATGGGTGGAATATCACAGTACACTCAACTTTATATTTTATATATTTCCTATTTATATATATTATACATCTCTTTTGTTAGAAATAACCTGTGTTTTTTATGCTTGTTTGCATTTTCCTAGGCACCAAAGATCTCCTGAGCGCTCCTAATTTTGCTGTATGCAGAGCTTACAATGACAATAAAGGATTTCTGATTCTGATTTTTATTCTGGTTAACCTAGCTTAGCATTAAAACTGAAAGCAGAGGGAAACAGCCGACCTTGTTGGTGGATAAATACCCGTACCGACATCTCTAAAGCTGGGCAAACACTAGGACTGCAATTAACAATTATTCTCATGATCAGTTACTCTTCTGATTATATTCTCAATTAATAAGTTAATTGTTTTGTCTATAAAATGCTGGAAAATAATGAAATATTATAATAATGTTATAATTTCTTGTTTTGTCTGAGCAAAACCTAAAGGTTCTGATTTAGAGGCTGGAATCTTCTGTATTTGCATTTTTTGCTTTAAAATTACCAAAACAATTATTCAGTTATTCAAATAATTGCAGATTAATCGACTGATTGTTGCAACTCTTGCAGACACTGCACATTTTTATAAATATTGTACATTGTGTTAACTCTCACTACACATTTCAGTCTGCCTCTCTGCACTGCCTACCTGTGACTTTTATGCTCACACTGTGCTGATCAACTGACACCACACACCAACCACAATAAGATCTTCATTACCAGCCTGCCCTGTGGCCACTTTATTGGGTACACTGGTAAAATTTTATATAATCTGATACAGCTGTTCAAATATAAATTCTACTGTTGCATTGATAATAAAATTCAGTTTTAGTTCAAATCTGCCAGTAATTTCTTTCTGCTTTTATATTCATGTTCATGTAGTTAACTTAGTTTTATTTCCCCATGTTGGGCAATTCTCCAAAATTATTGCTGTATTCTTTAGTTTTGTGTTTTTGTGCACCTGTGAAACACCTTATAACTCAGGTTTTAATTGGCCCTACAGAAATAAAGTTTACTCACTTAAAATGTTTACACTGTTTAAGACATGGTCACATGGATCAGTGTTGAGCTAAGCTATTAACCATTGTCACGTCACAGTGTCACGTGAACTTAGTGTGAGACAAATGATAATATAGAGAATGTTAGGGTGGGCAAATCCTGCAGATTATCTTTGCTCACATGGAGACAAGCACTGACAATCCTGCTACCTGCTAATTATGTGCACAGGGAAAATGTACGTATGTGGATGATTTGGGGTCTTGGATGTGACTCAATAGGCATCTTTGCTTATTAGACATCTGCATGCGTTTTCATCGTTTTCAAAATACAAACATAGTGGAAGAGAATTATTCTGCTTTTGTGTTCCAGTTTCATCAACAGGTTAATAGTTTTCATGTCTTAAATGCTTCTCTGAGATGTCCAATGCAACTCAATCTCAAGCCAACATAACTATTGGGCTTGGGTTACTGGAGAGAGTGATGCTTTCCACTCTGACTACAGTACCATGCTTTATTTTCTTCTTCATTAATGTGAACATGCTGTTCACCTTGCGGAGCAAACTGGTATTTCGTGAGACCTCTCGTTACATTCTTCTCTTTAACCTCCTTTTTGCAGACACTGTGCAGATGGCATTGAGCCAGTTACTGTATATACTGTCTGTTTGTAAAATAATGTTGTCGTATCCTATGTGTGGTCTCCTGGTCATGATTGCTAATCTCACAAATGAAATCTCTCCTCTCACACTGATGGTGATGTCTCTGGAGAGATATGTAGCTGTGTGCTACCCACTGAGGCATGCTACCATCATCACCATCAGAAACACAGGGGTGGCCATCATTGTGGTTTGGGCCTTTTGTTCACTAAATGTTCTCACTCGAGTTCTTTTACTGTTACATTTTCCATTTGAAGACCTGGAGAGCCTGCAGATGAAGGACTTTTGTGGTACACTTGTCATGTTTCTTGGGCCCTTATCTGATGATTATGACAAAGCCTACACTTGCTTTGTGTTTATTTCTGCTACTGTGGCGATCACTTGTTCCTATATCGGTGTGATGATAGCAGCCAGGTCAGCCTCTACAGACAAAGCTTCAGCTCAAAAGGCTCGTAACACACTGCTGCTGCATCTGGTGCAGCTGGGCCTCAGTCTCTCCTCAACCATGCACAACTCATTGCTCATAGCTGTCTCCAAAACTGTTACGAGGACAGTGCTTGTGCGCATCCTGAATGTTTTTTATGTTTTTATTATCATGCTCCCCAGGTGTCTGAGTGCTTTAATCTATGGGCTCAGAGATCAGACCATCAGGCCCGTCCTCTTGTGCCATTTATGCTGTTGTTTGAAACTCTCAGTTGTCTCAGCAAAGGCTGGGGTCTCACCATAAGACATGGAATGAATTAACCCTCATTAAACTTATGTTGTCCTCATACAGGTCATCATGTGTCAGAATATCCAGCATTTGTTATAGAGAAAGAAACAAACTGAAAACTCTTTTTGCTAAAGATGACATATATATATATATATATATTGAAAAGAAGACTGTTCAGCTGTAGTTTAGTCAGTATTTCTTGAAATTTACTAATGGAAGCCTGTCAAGAATATCATTCTGACTTAACCAGTAGAAGGTGTTAGTCACAAACATTTAAAAAGGATTTATTAAAGTTGGCATCATTTCATTTTGAATTTTAGCCTAAAATGTGTAATGTAGTTCATACACTTCCTCAAATTCTGCTTTAAGTTTCATTTTGATTTAGATGCATCCTAAATAAATAAAACAGTATATTTAGAGCACAGTTAGTCAATAGTTTTATGAATACAAAGAAAAGCCTGTCACCACAGTAAAGATGCAGTGTATTAAAAAATTTAATAAACTAAAAATAACTAAAAATAAAGACAGTTTTCAGCTTTGATGTTACTCCAAATCTCATCATGACCGACATGAATGATGGTCAAAACCAAAATAAGATGTGATTTGCAAAATGTATGAATTTCCAAATTATTTGCATATGAAACTAGGTAATAAGAATAACAATAATGATACTTATCATGAAACAAAAACCATTTTATCTTTATTTTATTTATTTATTTATTTTTTTTCTGAGACTACTCAAATCCCTATTACTGCATTCCTTGTGTTTTTTGTTGTCCCATGGAGACTGCTGATAGACATTTTCTACCTGTGACACATCTGTACCTGCTTCTTTTCACCTGGCACCCATAGTCCTTACCATGAGTTTCATTGTAGTGTTTTTTCAGCTTGGTCTGCTGCCCCCAAGTGGCCAAAAAAGATCATTGAATACAGCTGTAATACTCTCTGGTCAGTAGCCAGGTCAAGAGCAGCTCCAACTTGATCATCACGTTTGGTGATGACACAGTACAGATTGACAGGATCACCACCAATGATGAGAAGACCTAGAGTAGACCTATGAGTGGACCTTTTACTCTACTGAGGAAAGAAACCTAACAGGAGACATCACTAACGGGTCTGAGAATTGTTCTGCTCAGTACTGTTGCAGCTGCACTCTGGACTTTTACAGCAGAAGGTGCAGAACCAGAGGAGTAGTAGTATGACTTATGAACAATTCTCACCACCACAGCAAAGGACTATTTTAGCTTCTACACTCAGGCAAAGACCTCTATCCAACACAGACTCAGGAAAGCTTCTTCCCTCAAGCCCGCAGGATGGTGACCTCTGTCCTCTGACCTCTGTATATCCTCAGCCTTGTCTACCACATTGTCTTCAGTGAATCATTTGCACTGCCCTGAACATTACATATTGCACTTGTGTTTAAGCCTGAAAACATCCTTAGTCACAGGGCTGGACTCAAGCTGAGTGAGGTGGGGGAAAAAATATAAAGGTCACCTTATACATTCAGTGAGCCCCCATCAGCAGGGAACAACGGTGCATTTTTGGTAAAAAACGACACCCCTAATAAAATTTAACATTTTATAGGACGATTCAGACTATAAAGTGTGCACATATCAGAGGAAGGCGACAAAATATTTCCACTGCATTGAAGGTTCCAAGAGCAGAGTGGCCTCCATAACTCTAAATGGAAGAAGTTTGTAACAAGATGATGGAAGATGATGTAGAGAAATGGGAGACACCTGTGCTAAATTTCAAGTGTCATAGCAAAGGGTCTGAATACTTATGTCAATGTGATATTTCAGTTTTTCCTTTTGTAATAAATTTGCAAAATTTTCTAAAATTCTGTTTTGGTTTTGTCATTATGGGATTATGAGTATAAATTGATGAGGGGCAATGAATTTAAATGATTTTAGCATAAGGCTGCAACATAAAAAAAGTGAAGGGGGTCTGAATATTTTCTGAATGTGCTATTTTATTTAGAGCATTGCCACAAATACCAAGGGTGACATGGCAGCTACAATCAGACTTGCAATTTATTTTTTTATTTTTTGCCCATAAAAAAAGGCGACGTACAATAACAAAGTACAAAAAGCCTGTATACATAAAGGTGAAACATTGACACGGGCCTAGATTAACGTAACGTCCTTAAGAGAAAAGAAGTGAAAAGAAAAACATAAATAATATTTTTAACAAAGAAAATGTACAATGATTCTGGCAATACAACAGCACATAAAACCAGAAAAAAACTAATAAATAAGCGTCGTCGTCATGACGTATGACGCATGAAAGTGACGGTCGACAGTTTTCCCTCCTCGCTGACACGAAGCTATCTGGTGGCGTCGATGTTTCGCTAAAGACACCTTTATCGCTGAATATTTCGGACTGCGAAGCTTTAGCAGTTTTGGAGGAAGGCCGATAAAGAAACCGAACAGTCATAACAACGTTGTTAAAGGTAAACGTGTCTGAAAGTACAGTTATTCTTTGTCTGCCTTCCTGTTGTTTTGCTAACGTTTACGTAGCAACGCTAAGTAGTTAGCGGGAGAGCTAAGTAGCTAACGTTAGCTTGACGCACGTAGCTTCTAAACAGTAACTGTCGGTAACACAGTAAATGTTCGATATTAGTCCGACTTTATGTGTGCATAAAACCTGACACTGTTCGCCATTAAGTACCAGGTCTTGGGTCGTTGATAGTTCGGGTTATGCGATGGATTCGTTGAGCTAACATAGTTAGCTGAGGCGGAAATAATGCTACGGCTATGTCGGTTTTGGTTCTTGGTTTATAACTGGTCTCGTCTGGCTCTGGCTCGTCAAGAGACGGGCCGTGCTTCCAACATTTCAAACTCACCCAACCTACAGGGGCTGATAGGTTACGTTGTGTTTTGGTTCAACAGATCTAGCTGATGTCACAGCCCTGTTAGCTGCACGTGGAGTGAGGAGTCTCAGTTAACGTTGTCTCCGGCGGTAACGACGGTACATATCAGGTCTGAGGGGTCCGAGCTTCACCTGGAAACTGTGTCGTGTTTAAGTTTCATTTGACCGATTTCCACCCGAGTCAGTCACCGTAAAACCGCTGCTCGTTGACTACAAGCAGCTGTGAAAAGTAACGAAGTAACTTATACTCTACTCGGGTATTTCCGTTTTACGCTACTTTAAACTTGCACGTCACTACATTTCAAGTGTTGGATGCAGCCCCAGTTCAGTTTGAGTTAAATAATCTTTCTTTAATCCTAAACTCTGAAATGTAGGAAGATTTAGCGTCTTTCTCCCATTATGGGCTTATTAACAACAATATGATTTTTGTTAAAGTGGCAGTTGTGCGAAATGCAAACGGATCCAGTGTTACATTTGACTTTGTTTTCTCTTAGTGTTGGAAACCTGCTGCAGAATATGAACAAAGATGATGTTATTTTTTTTTATAAAGTGAATCTTTGTCTTTGTTTTCAGGCAGAAGACTTATGCAGTCCTGCTAGCAGGGCAAGATGTTCAACAAGTCATTTGGTACTCCCTTTGGTGGAGGGACGGGGGGATTTGGCAACGCATCGACCTTTGGACAGCAAAGTAAGTTGCTTTATTTATTTCTTTAAACCTGATTTAAATGAACCCATAGTAGCACCAAGACGACTTGACGACCTGTTGAAGTTTCATTTCGTACAGCGAAGCCTGAATCTCAAACAGAATTCCAACATCAACCAAGACGTCCAGAAACTTTTACTGCTCATATTGTTCTTAAATCTGTAAAGTATTGGAAATGAGATAGCATGAGAAAGGAAGTATCATGTACTCATGTGCTTAAAAAAAAAAAAAAGTTATGGTGAGGTGAATTTGACATTTTCCTTTTAGGTGATCTCATTCAGCCCTTTAGTGGTAACTTTTATCGGGTTTCTGATAAGGTGAACCGACCAAACATCTTGATCTAGTCTGTTGGTACAGTCTGAGAGAGTCTCAGTATCCTAGGATTAATTCCTGGTGACTGAAGTTGTAGCAGGTGATGTAAAGCATCAATCAGTGTCACGTCAAACTGTCCTCACATAAACTGTGTATCTGCAGATACGGGCTTTGGGACGACGGGGGGCTTTGGGACATCTGCATTTGGGACGACCAGCAACACTGGAGGACTGTTTGGCTCCACACAGAATAAACCTGGTTTGTCAGCTTTAGTCTCATTTGCTCTTGTTAGAAACAGCCAGATGTTTATATCATTCCTTTGTAGAGAGTCTCAGTCCTGCACATGTGAGCTCTTTTGGTCTGGGGAAACTTCACCTGCTGAGATGATATCTTAAAGCTCTAGCACTGCATGTTTTAGGGCCAGAATACATTTCTGAATACTGCTCCATTAGGAATTCTCAGGTGCTCTGGGACCTCTTAGGTGCTCTGTGATCTCTCAGGTGCTCTGGGACAGGTCTGCTTACTGTCCAGAGATCAAACTAAGCGTGAAGAAGCCGCATTCAGTTTTCATGCTCCATGTATCTGAACAAACGTCCAGAAAACTTGAGGTCTCTTACAGCTCTCCACTCTTCTAAATCAGAGCTGAAGATTTTTCATTTAAGACTATTTATTCATATCTTGCATGGAACTGTAGCTGCACTGTAATTCTTATATTGTTTATTATTGATTTTATTCTTTTTTTTCTTTTAATCTTCTATATAACTTTGTTTGGATCCATTTAAATCCTCTTCATGTGTCTTTTCTGTATTGCCTTGTGTGTCCTTTATTTCTTGTCTTAATTCCTTCTCTGACCTATGTAAAGTGCTTTGAATTGCCTTGTTGTCGAAAGGTGATATAAAAGAAGAAGTTTTGAAATGGGGAAAATCTTTAACGATGTAGATATTATCACTAATCTGCTCCATTTGCTTTCATCCAGGCGGTCTGTTCGGGTCCAGTACGTTCAGCCAGCCGCCGACTTCCTCCACCAGCACCGGCTTTGGTTTTGGTGCAGCGAGTGGCACCTCCACCAGCTTGTTTGGCAACACTGGAACAGGCACCAGCGGCGGGCTCTTCTCCCAGCAGAACAATGCTTTCGGTGCCAACAAACCCACATCTTTTGGAAGTGAGAACCCTCCAAACTTGACTTTTTTGGTGTAAAATTCACACCTTTATGGGTTTCCTTATTCCGTCAGAAAGATCAAAAATAACAACCTGCTTCTGGATTTGTCAAGTAGGAAAAATGCTCTAAAGAAGTCTGACTCCTCTTTTGTCCTCCAGGCTTCGGGACGAGCACCAGCAGTGGCGGCGGCTTGTTTGGTTCCACCAACACTGCCTCCAACCCCTTCGGTGGAACAAACTCCCTGTTTGGAGGCTCAGGGTTCTCTGCCACACAGCAGCCAGGAACAACCGTAAAATTCAACGTGAGTAAATCAGGTGCTGAAATCTGAGGAAATGAAGTGCATTCTGTATTTGTGTCCCAGTTTCTGTGCTACATCCCAACTCAAAGCATGTTTCGAATTTGCTGTGAATTTGCTGTTCACACTGGAAATATAGTATAAAGTTTAGAGAGATTAATCAGTTGGCAACTACTTAAATCAAATTATTGTTTTAGTCATTTTTAGATGCCAAATATTTGCTGGTTCCAGCTTCTTATATGTGACGATTTGATGCTTTTTTTAGTCATACATCAAGTAAACTGACGTCTTTGGGACTGGACTGTTGGTCTGAAGACGTCATGCTGGACTGAAGAAAAACAAAACAATCACTAAAATAACTTAATGATGAATATAATTGTTTTGTTTTTTTTAGTTTGCTCTTGATGGGCGCAGTCCTCCCACAATGAAATGCTTAGATGAGATGGAGGAGCTGCAGCACTTAAAAGAAAAAAAAGAATATAACGTAGATACTGTGTAAAGTTAGTACGTCGTATGGAGATTTAGATTTTAAAGGATTAAAAGAGAACCTGAACTGTCAACCAGCTGCGGAAATAAACAAAATAAGAATATTCACCCTGAAACGTGTGTATTGTCAAACAGAGACCTTAACACTCATTTGTGTTTCTATCCATTACACTTTCCGCCTTCAGCCTCCCACAGGAAGTGACACAATGGTGAAAGCTGGTGTGACCACTAGCATCAACACCAAGCACCAGTGCATCACAGCCATGAAGGAGTATGAGAACAAATCTCTGGAGGTGAGTTTGTAGGTCGACACACATACCAGCTGCTGCTTTTAGGGATTCAGCCAGAACCATCAGACCTGCAGCAAAAGCCACTGCTGCTACAGGAGCTATGGGCAAGTTTTTATCTGTAATTAACATAATTATATCATTAGGCATTTTTTAATGAGGAAAATATAAAATTCTAGGAAGTTATAAATGTGATATTATGATAATTGACAATTCTAGGCCATAGCTTGTCTACTAGTTGTCAGTCATACTTTGGTTGCTAGGACTGTGAAGAGGTATTCAGTTATCAACTCTTTAAAAGTTTCAGTCGGTGGACCTGCAGAAACCATGTGGTGACTTGCAGGTGGTTTTTGGAAAGCTTTGGCTTTTTAACATTCTGATCTGATTTTTGTTGCCTTCTGTTTTTTTCTCGTCTGCTTCCCTGCAGGAGCTGAGGTTGGAGGACTACCAAGCCGGCAGGAAGGGCCCGACCAACCAGATGGCTGCAGGGACAGGCAGTCTGTTTGGTTCAGCCACAGCCACATCCAGTGCCGCCACCGGTCTGTTTGGCTCCACAGCCCCCAACACCAGCTTCTCCTTCGGACAGAACAAGAGCACTTTCGGAGCTCGTAAGTGGTGACGACAACAGAAGCTGTTAATGTATTTAATTCAGCCTGAGGTCAGCATCTCATCACAATGATCCAGTGTCAGTTCAAACATCTGAGGCAGAACTTCCCAACAATAGTTTCTACCCCTCAACCAAAAATGAGAAGTGTTAATTAGAGGTACTGAAAGAGACGTGCTTTATGTTTGTCTTCTCTCTAGCAGCGACTGGCGGTTTTGGTGCTACCACAGGTGGTCTTTTCGGCCAGCCGACCCAGCAACAAGCCGGCAGCCTCTTCAAGCCGTTCGGTCAAACCACCACCACACAGAACACTGGCTTCTCCTTTGGGAACACCAACACTATGGGACAGGCCAACACCAGCACCATGGTGAGTTTGTTAACAAGTTCAACATCTCAATAAGCTGAAAGGTGACGATACGTCAGTGTTGTGTTCACTGGGGAGGCAGATCTCACAATTCAGCTTCCTCAATGGTTTTTAAAAGTTTGAGTGAGAAGGTTTCGATGTTTGCTCACAACGGTCCTCTCCTGTCTGTCAGGGTTTGTTTGGGAACACAGCAGCTTCTCAGTCGGGCGGGTTATTTGGCGCCGCCCAGACCAGCACCGCCACTGGGTTTGGAACGGGCACTGGGCTGTTTGGGCAACCCAACACTGGATTTGGAAATGTTGGAACACAGGTACAAAGTAAACCAGGGATGATTTGAAATGGGACAAATTTATTTATCATATAAGAGGCAATAATTACTTCATTAGAACTGAACTGAAACTTCAGCTTAATGTAACACACAGATTCAGTTTGGGAGGATTCATCACAAGTGTATTCTGTAAAAAGGAGACCGTTATTTAGGCCCAAGCGATAAAATGAAAGAGATATGTACCGTCCCGTCACAATATCCAAAAAAAAAAAAAAAAGTTTTCTTTGTAAAGCTTCACTCAGCCCCTCCTTGCACTGCTCTTTCTCTTACAAAGATTTTACTGTTTTCTGTCTCTTTCCGGCCCTCTCTGTGTGCCTGTCATTCAAGGTGCTCATGAGAGCATGTTACAGGACTAAGTTCACTGACCAATCACAATATGTAATCAACCCAGTGAGGGTAGGGGCAGTTAAAATATTTCTAGTGGAGCAAAAATAATCTTAATCTAAAATTTTAAAAGGAGTAAACTTTGGCGGGCTGAGGGCAGCTCAGTTTCTTCCACTAATAGAAAATAACATTGAACATTGTGTGAAGACTAAATCAGTGTAAATAGATTTAAATTTTACTGTTTGTGTGTTTTCTCTTACAGCAGAGTTTATTCGGAAATAAGACGGCGGGGTTCGGCACCACCACCACCAGCGCCCCGTCCTTCGGCACCGGCACCGGGCTCTTTGGCAACAAGCCTGCCCTCACACTGGGAACTGGAACCAACACCTCCACCTTCGGTAAGTCAGTGTTCACAGTAAAACACTTTTATAGTACCTCTCAGGGTAACCATGGCAACGGCACTGACGCTTCAGACAACAGTGAGTCTCATTGATAATCGGTGTTGTTGCTTTGGTGCAAGGTTTTGGTGCGAACCCCGCTGCAGGGAGTCTGTTCGGGAACAAGCCGGCCACTGGAGGTCTGGGGACCGGACTGGGAACCAGCTTTGGAACAGGTAACACAGGAACCTGGCATCAGGAAGGATTAACAGACAGATGATGATACAGTGTTAAGGCCAGGGTGTGAATATAAGAAAAAGGAAAATACTTTATAGGTAATGTAATTTTCATGACACTTCACTAGTGGAGCTGAAATGGTTTGTCAACAGAAAATTCTTCTGCAACCATCAACATATCAAACATTCACTGGTTCCAGCTTCTTACTCGTTTATTTAGGACTGTTGGTTGGACAGAACAAGCAGTTTGAATTCAGTTGAACAGCGTTTGGGGGCAGTTAGAGATTATTTTCATCATAGATTATTCTGTTAGTTTTTTACTTAATTGTTTAGTGTCAGAAAATTTCCCTGACCCCAAGTTGATGTTGTCAAGTTTCTCGTTTGTTCCAAACAGCCTGAAGTTATTTAGTTTACAACAACGAAGCGCAACAAATTCTCACGTCTGAAATCAACAAGCAATTTTTTTGAATTTTTCCCTCATAGCAACTTAAACTGACAGTAGCGATTAATTTTCTGACAAACAATTGGTTACAATAACATGGTTATTAATATTGGCTGATTGAAACAGAGAAGACGTTTTCAAACTAAAGCACCGAAGAGCTGAACCTGTTGTGAAATCAAAGTGTAGTATTACAGGCTGAGGATCAGCTGAACATGTATTAAAACAAAGCTGTGTGTTCAGCAGTGGGCACAGGCCAGCCGTCTCTGTTTGGCAATAACCAGAACAAACTGGGCACCACACTGGGAACGATGGGAACATTCGGAGCGACTGGATTCAACAGTGGAACCAGCACCCTGGGCTTTGGAGCTCCACAACAACCCGTCGGTGAGCCCTCAGTGTCTGTGGCGTGTTTGACCTCCGTCCCCCAGGAGATGGGGCAGTGATGGAACCGTATGTTTTGATGTGTTTTGTTTTTCCTCCTCCAGCACTCACTGATCCGAGCGCAGCGGCCGCCCAGCAGGCCATGCTTCAGCAGCAGCTCAGTGTTCTGGCGTATTCACCGTACGGTGACTCACCACTGTTCAGAAACCCGCTGTCAGACCCCAAGAAGAAAGAGGAGGTGAGAGTCTGCTCCTTTATTCGGCGTGTTTTTGTTGCTTCTCCTCTGCTTTTGTTGACACTGTTGGTGTTATGAATACTCAACACAGATTCACCTGCAGTTCACTTTTTTAACTTCACCTTTATTAAATCAAGATGCTCTTTAATGGTCATACATTAACAATTTCTCTATTTTGTCAGCGTCTGAAACCAACCAATCCGACGGCACAGAAGGCTCTGACCACGCCCACCCACTACAAGCTGACCCCTCGACCTGCAACCAGGGTCCGCCCCAAAGCGCTGACATCATCTGGCTCGTCCAAGTCGCAGCTCTTTGATGGCCTGGATGATGACGAGCCCTCGCTCACCAGTGGAGCCTTCATACCCAGGTACCCATCAGCCAACACTACCTGTACCATTGCCATGGCAACGTGGGCCCCTGGGCAAAGACTAGTAAAAGGCCCCCCACCCCTCCTATGTATGAATTCCCTACTGAAACGTCTGTGTGGCTTTTTTTTCCTTCCGCGATAGTTTTTCCTTCGTTGTGTTTAACTGGGATCTGGCTCCTGGGTCTGTGCCACATAGGCCCATTCATTAATACACACATGGGTCCAAATCAGGTTCATTGATTAAATGTATCACTCGGAATGATTCTTAGATACAGCAGGGAAGTACTGACATTCTTTGGTACAACCATGAAAAAGGTTCTGAATGTTACTCTGATATTAAAAAGTGTTTAACTTGGTGTGTGTGTTTTATCCACAGGAAGAGCATAAAGAAACTTGTGCTGAAGAACCTGAACAGCAGTCAGTACAGCAGTCAGACGGAGGCGGAGCCAGATGACCTTGCTTCACCCTCAGAGTATCCACAGAACGGACACAGGTCAGGGGTTCAGAATGATCTGTATTTTTAAATCTGCAAAGCAATGAGCAGGTGGAGCAGGTCGTTTGTTATCGTGTCTCAAATATGACACTTGAGTCTTCTTTCAGTTTGTAGGAGAACATTTCCTGAATAGTCTCAAAGTTTGAGATTTTATTTTTAATTTTAGTCACATCACATTTAAACTGTGATGAGTTTTTGCTAATGCAACTGAACATTTCCTACCACACTCCTATCATCAGATTGTGTTTATATTAATAATACTAGACTAAGTGCAGCAGGTCAAACTACAGAAAATGACCCTGTCACTGAATCAGCACCTAACACTATAACCACAGGGTGTGTTTTAAACCACTGTTTCCATAGCAGTATATTAACTTAAATACCGTCTGCAGCCTTATGGAGGAGGAGGAGGAGCTCAGGGAGCTGGCAGGCCCTAGCAGCCGGGCGGACGAAGACCCCGAGGTCACCCAGTTCTACGTCAATCCCATCGCCAAGCCCATCCCGCAGGGCCGCACCCAGACCAGCCTGCAAGACACCATCAGTGACCTCAACATGCACAAACCAGCCAGGAACGGCCTGGAGGTCAGCAGCGCCAACGTTCTTGCAAACTTGATCTGGACCCATTGGATCCTAAATCACGTAGCCTGTAGCTCGATAAACGGGTTGGGTTTACACGGGGGATAATGTGACAACAATCGGAGCTTTGACATCCACCTTAATATTCTGCTCAGAGTTGAGATATTCACATATTTAGTTTATACGAACACACGAGTCTGTATCATCATCATCTTTAAAAACCTCTCGATGCTGAGCTCAAGTTTTCACATAAACAGCAGATAATTTTGATTTATCAGAGATGGGAAATAAAACAGGGCAGGTCCAGGAGTTTGAATGATGAGGTTGCGACATACAGAGTCAGAGGACAGATGTGTGTGTTCATGGTATTTATTATATGACTCAGATCTTTTTGAGACCCAGAATTTTTTTTCTGTCCTCAGCTGAGCAGCGATGACGTGTCGGCATCTCTGGGGGAGGAGTCTCTGCAGGAGGAGAGAGAGGAGGAGCAGCAGGAGGCTCAACAGTCTCCTCACCCAGCGGGTGAGATACAAAATCATGTTGAGATTAAAATCTGTTGTTTTTAAAGGGACAAGGTCAAGAGGGAAACATAACATCATCACAACAATAAATAAAAACATCATCAACAGGGCTGCAACTAACAATTGTTTTTAGTGTCCATACATCTGTTGTGTTGTTGTTTGTTTGTTTGTTTGTTCAGTCCAGGTGTAAACCATTTGACACCACAGGTTGTACAAGAGTTTGTTTTTAAGATCACAACAACAGGATCATCATGTAGCTTCAGCTCATTTCATTCATCCCTGCCAGAGCTGCTGTTCACTGCAGCTCCGCTCAGATTAACAAATGCACACATTTGCCTCGGGGTGGTCAAACCTTTGCATACAGCTGTGAATAGGAAAAACACAGTTGATCACAGCTGTGTCACAGACCTGCTGTGAGAGAGACGTGTCAGACCGCACCTGTTTAATGGCTGAATTTACACAGAGGTGGAAAACTGTCACAGGCTCCTGCAACAGCTGGGCTACAACTGTTATTTTAACTTCCCCCTTTGATATTTTCAACTTTTGTCTCCAACATCAACAAGCTGATGGACAGGAAGTCGTGTAACGTCAGTGATCCTTTGTCAAAACACAGTCCTGCATTCCTGTAGCTTTCAGTTTCACATCCACTCTGGTCAACAAAATGTTCTTTAAAAAGTTCAGTATTTTAAAAACTTCCCATAAATAAAAGCACAGTTTTTAGATTCAAGTGAGATGAATGAATCACTCTAAATTGCTTTTGTGATGATATTTTTTTTACACATTAGGCAGGAAATCCTGCAGCAGCTGCAGGATGAATCGATCAGTTTCTCTGTTTTCTGTCTGTCAGGTATCGTCCTGAACCGTGTTGGTTATTACACCATCCCCTCTATGGAGGATCTGGCTGAGATGGTGGATGAAAACGGAGAGTGTGTGGTGGAAAACTTCACCGTCGGCAGGAAAGGTAACACCAACACTGGCTCACACCCTCACCTCTTAGTAGCAGCATAGTAGACATCCAGTTTACCTGCCTGGGTAAACTGGAAGGTGACTCATACAGCTTGTTATGTCATGTCCCACGATGCCTGTGAGCTCTGTCTCACTGCTCTGCTCTGATTGGCCCTCACAGGCTACGGCTCCATCTTCTTCCCCGGCGAGGTGAATGTGACGGGGTTGAACCTCGACGAGATTGTCCACTTCAGACGCAAGGAGGTCATCGTGTACCCCGATGACAAAAACAAGCCGCCAGAGGGGGAGGGGCTTAACAGGTGAGTGAAGCCAGGAACAATCAAGTCAGTCTGTTGTGGGGAGATGTTTTGTGATTGTCACCTGGTCCGAGGGGGGGGGGGGGCAGGTTTGCCTCAAACTGACCAGTTGTGTGTTTGTCATCCAGCTCCTGTTCTAGTCTGTTTGTCTCTTTGTGCTCGTAGACGGGCCGAGGTGACCTTGGATGGCGTTTGGCCAAATGACAAAACATCCTGCACTCAGATCAGGAGCCCCGAGCGTCTGACCGACATGAACTACGAGGGTCGGCTGGAGAAAGCCTCTCGTAAACAGGGAGCCCGTTTCCTGGAGTACAGACCCGAGACGGGATCCTGGGTGTTCGAGGTCAGTTACTGCTGCTCCCACAGGTTTCAGATAAATTAGCCTCAGATAGTTTATGTCCGATAACGCGCATTATCTTTTCTTTCTTTGTCACCTGAAGTTCTACTTTGACAGAAGCTGAGAAACACTGAATGACCAGGAGAGTTTTCTCAATCATTAGAGCGAGGCCAATATTTCATCTGATCGAACAACTAACAAGGTTGTTGTGTCACAGTGACGTCCTTCAGAGTTTTTCCACCAGAGATTTAAAATGTCCTGCTCAGCATCTGTCTGTGTCGTTGTAAACTTCTGAATATCAATATCAGTCAACCCTCAGAAATCCAGTATCAGTTCTGTTGTAACTCACAGGAAAGAATAATGTGAATACAGATGATTTGAATGAAGATGTTTTCTAGAGTTCTGTGGGTCCAAAATGTTGGATTTGATCCAGAAAACATCTAATTCAGATGGGAAAAGCCACCTGAGTACTGTTGAAGAAAATTCACCCAAGTCCTTAGTTTCAAGTTTGCTGTAGTGATGTAAGTTTATTGGTATCCCAGGATACGGTGAGCCAACTGACACAGAGCGGGTCTGAGGCAGTAGACTTACCCAGAGTGAAGGGCAGGGGGACAGTTATACAGTTGAAGACAAAGGGATAGACAATTGTATTTGCATAGACCCGGGGTTACAGACATTTAGTCAGACAGGATAACAAGTTGGAAAGGAGGTTAGAAGCAAAAGGTAACGTTCTCTAGAGGTCTTGCAATGTAACACCTAGGTTCAAGTTATCAAGGGGGTAGGAGGGGCTCTTAGACTGGATCAGCATATCCACAGGTAAGATGTTGTTAAGACGATGAAGCCTTGGTGATGTAAGAGGGAAGAAGGGGTGTTCTCCTTGATGAAAGGATCAAGGGGCCAACTCAGTAGGGTTATAGAGGTGTTCCTAGGTGTCAGCAAGTCACACTGAATACTGTATATTCTTCCTCAGTACACAAAGATAATTAGACCTGATGTGGTGTCTGTGTGTTAATGACCACGACAGCGTGGTGATCTGTCGGTTAATGAGGAGCCACAGCGGGAAAGAGCAGCAATAATCAACTGGACAATAAACAGAGACGATATTAATTTTCCAACCAGTTTCATTTCTGTGAATCAAATTCCAGAAAATAATTATCACTTAATTACTTGATCTTTTATGTAGGTCACCGATGTCTGTCCTGGTTCCTCAGAACCCAGCGGACCTGTGAACACCTGCATCTGCTGTGACGCTGCTCAGGTGTCATTATCATGTAGTTCTCAGGTGTGACTGACTCCTCCCTCTCTCTCTCTCTCAGGTGGCCCATTTCTCCAAATATGGCCTCCAGGACTCTGACGAGGAGGAGGACGTCCCGCCTAAAGCCGACCCCAAGAAGCTGAAGACGATGATGTCACTTCCTCCACCCAGGATGCAGCAGCAACTTCCCCCCTCCCAGCAGCAGGTGGCGCCACAGGCTCAGGTAGAGCAGCCTGCGCCCATCTACACTCATCATCATCATCTTCCTCACTAACACACCTGAGATGATTAAAGGAGTATCCACTCAAACATCCGTCTGTGTCCAGCTGTTTGGAGGCAGCAGGTCATTTAATTTGAGTTAGAACCAGTGATCAGCTGCAAAAAGTGAAACATCCTGAATTTTTAAATGTGCCTCAGGTCGACGACCACTTTATCTCTGTCAGTGATAAAGGTGCAGTGTGCAGGATTTCAAAGGTGCCTCCTCCTCTCTGGCTCAGCGAGAAAGAGAGAGTAGATGAAGAGAGGAGGCAGTGTTGGTCAGAACGAAGCAGTGAATCTGACAAAACGTTATTTTCTAAAGTAGAAGAAGCACAGGTGTGTGAAGGAAAGACCTGCAGCTCTTTATACATCCAGAGATCAGAGAGATGGAGAGCGATGTGACCAGGGGCCGGTTTCACACACATCTGGTCTGTCGTGCTGGTCCAGTCTTCATGTTGCTCACAGATCAGTCAGACACAAACATTAGACACCTCACCCCCAGGCTGGCTCAGGTCTTTTTCTTTCTCACTCTTCATGTAAAACGTCTAACTGTTGAATTCTTCCAAAAGACAAACATGTCGTGCAGAGGGTAAATGGAGCTGAGTGGTTTATTACCCAGAAATCATTGTACCACAGTCCGGCTTAAGATAGTCAAGAACTAAGCTGCTTTCTGCAGCAGTTCAGACTCAGTCCGTCTGAAGTCTGACTGTTCGTTAGATCTAAGTCAGAGTCAGTATTTATGAAACCAGCCCCTGTTCTGTGTCGATAGAGTCCCGCTACAAACCCTCTGCCCAAAGGTCGACGCCCAGAAACGTCCCGAACACGGCAAAATAAGAAAATAAAAAATACAGACAGAGCAGCGGAAAAATCCTGCACATTACACCTTTAAGTACACAGTGTGTTTTCCAGACATTTAAGTGTTTATACTGCTGACTAACTAGTTAACTAGAAGTTAGGAGTACCGACCCATTAATTATCAGTTCTATATTGATTAGTCAACAATGACTGAATATTTAACATTTCATTACAACAGTAGAATCTGTTCATTATTGATTTAAATCTGTTACTTTCCATTGATCACTTGGTCTTTAAAATGTCTGTCACATTTTCTCAGAACTAAAGGTTTCGTCTGATCAACCTGAAGAAACTTGGTTTATAAAGATATAAAACAGGAAAGCATTTATCCCTTCTTAAACTAATTGATTAATTTATTAACAGTTTCAGCTCTAGTTCAAACCAGACCTCAGTTCTACTGTCTGCTGATGTTCACACTGTCAGTGTTTGTCAGTGTGTCTTTCATTTCCACATCTGAAAGAGCCGAAATGATTCTTCAGACACTTTTGTTATCACAAAGTGAACCCTAAAGATCGAGT